TGTGTGTGTGTGTGTGTGTGTGTGTGTGTGTGTGTGTGTGTGTGTGTGTGTGTGTGTATGCAGGAGGACGGTGTGTACAGCCTGGTGAATGAAGCTCCTCCGCTGCAGGCGCTTCATCTGAAAGAAAAAGAGAGCCTCGCAGCTGCACAACAACCAGCACAGCGCCCCCCGCTGGTGAGACACACACACACACACACACACACACACACACACACACACACACACACACAAAATGAGTTAGATTATAAATTCATCTGTAACCTATTTTAGATTTAAACATTAAAAGATGATTTGTTCAACTATTGAGCTCTTTGTGAAAAAAACGTAATTCAATTTTATATCATGATAATTCAAAGGAATTCATTAGAAAAAATGTTTTACAGACACCCTCGCCACAGACCCCACATAAAGACTCCAAATGCAGAATCTGACCCAATTCTCTCTGGTTGGACACTTCCATCTTCACCTTACTTTTCACTATGGTTACGTAAACATGAAAGTTATTGTTAGTGCGTTTTTGACACATAATTTACTGAAAGATGGCTGCAAACCATACTTTGCTGTATATGATGTTGACCAGCCTTGCAGGGCTGTACATGGAAGTCTGCATTGGTTCTGTGGAGGACCGGGTTCAGCAGGGGCGGAGTGCTCTACATGCATTCAGCCATTGAATTATTCAGCCTTATGAATCATTGAGTCTCGACACTCCTTTTTAGGCCCTCGCGTCAGAGCTCCAGCCTCACAGCTACCTACCATATGAACATCTGAAGGAAGGACAACAGAGAACAGTTATCAGAAGTACATGTATCCATCTATATGAGCAGAATAATTACATTTTATTTAAGAAGATGCGGTTGTTGACGCTAACGCTTACTCACAGATTTCAGCATCCAAACAAAATCGACCTGAAGGCAATCACTTAAATCACTGAATGACACCTAAATATATAATACTATTTTAATGATGGTGACAAGCCTAAGTGTTGTCATATAATTGTATTTGATTGCAAAAAGCATTTATGTACCCCTTTCTTAAAAAAAAGAACATTTTAGTTCTTGACAAATGTACACTCACAAAGATACTGCAGTACAACAGGCAGGCAGCCTACATCATGTTGCATTATTTTTCTCTGCCAAGTCTATAAATACACAGAGATGCTCGTGTATGTCTATGTCTTCTATAGAGACAGTGTATGTGTTCTTGTGAGGTAACAATGTTTAATGCATGTTGCTGCTCCTCAGTGCTTCTGCTGCTGCTGGCTGTGTGGAATAACAGGTTTGGACAGAAGGCTGCTGGCTCTGAAGGGCAATAGATCATTTCACAGATCGACATACCCAAACATAAACACACACTTTTGTGAACACACACGTACACAAGATACAACAGCACAACACATTGGAAGACCATTTTAAAAAAATCAGAAATAAAATACATTCAGTCCTCACCGTATCATGTATTTTTTGTAGGTCTTTTGCAGATTTTTCAGAGAGCTGAGATGAGACAGTGACAAACTGCATCCACTGTTTGAACACCCATCGCATCATTCGTATGAATAATATGAACTAGATTAAACTGTAAGGCATAATTACATCGTTTTGGTTGTTTTGTACTAAAGAAAATATTGGTTTAAAAACAATGAATCTAATATAATGGATGCTGATGACGTTGACCTAATCTTTTATTTTCAATAAAAATGTAGAGGGGGTAGGACCAGAACAGTGTTTAAGCTTCTTCGTGCCCCTGTTGAACATGACAGAGACTTTTTGAGTATTTATTTTATTTGTTGTCTTTATGTACCTTGAACGTTTTTTTGTTGTTGTTCTGCTTCTCTTTGATTTAATTATTATAATTATTGTTTGTTTTGTTTCTGACATGTTCAATAAATGGACTAATAAGGCATCATATAATTACATACAGGTTTGTGCATTTCTTTGCAAATTATACATCTCATAATGATTTGTTCTTTTTTTCTAATGCGTTTCTTTGGGATTATAAGCTTATGTTTTAATGCAAAAAAACCTATATAACACACTACAGAAAAGTGAAACCCCCCAAAAGCCTATACGGCCCCTTTCAGATGCTTAAATGTCTTGTTAAGGCGCTCTCCATGGCCCTGATAGCACATTATGGAATGTGTGCTGATGTTGGTGCTGTCCATGGTCCTTAGAATGATATCAACATTAGAAATGGCTATCTCCATCTATCTATCTATATATCTATATATATATATATCAGCCTGGTTTTCTCTCTCTCTCTCCTTCATGCCCTTGGTGGGGTCAGCCTAACTCTCACAGCAGGAAGCCTTGCTAAAGTGGACACAAGGAAAAACGATCCCTTTCTAACATATCGAATAGACATTTAAGGTTGTGCTGTTATTGATCGGCGTTTGCACGTGTAATGTTACATTACCAATTCAATTTCTTCAAAGGGGTAGATGAATTCTCCCGGCCATCCTTAAATCTGTATGTATGACCATTTCCCATTCACTGAGGCGGATATTTACTGGAGTCAATAAATTAGGTCACATAATAGAGTAAAATAATGTCGTATTAAGATGATGTGGGCTGCTGGGGGTTAGGGTAACGTGGCACCAGTTTACTGAGTGCCTCAGGACATTCATTGAATATAAGACAGTCTTTGCAATCACTCTCAATGAACAGCAAATCCAATAAAGGCTTCGCTTCTATCAAAGACAATAGTTATTCATAGTAAAACTGAATATGTTTCACCATTAACATTGCAGTGTTGGGCATAGAATTAGTGTATTGAATTTCTTTGGGGGGAAAAACTTGTCTTAAAGGGATCGCAGATCTTATAATATATCGGCATTGTCCCTTCACTTTGTCTTTGTTATGTCATTGACAATATTTGTACCTATAACACATATTGTCGCACCTTGGCTCCCGTGTTTTGAAGCCATGAGAAAGGCCCAGAAGAGAGGAGAGGAGAGGAGAGGAGAGGAAAGGAAAGGAAAGGAAAGGAAAGGAAAGAAAAGGAAAGGAAAGGAAAGGAGAGGAGAGGAGAGGAGAGGAGAGGAGAGTCAGTGAAGAACATCCTCGACTTGGTTTCGGGGGAGGGAGGGAGGAGAGAGCTCTCTTCGTCCATTAATTTCCAAATGTCTGTTGCTAAGAATAGCCTCCCCCTCCACCTTCCCTAACAAACACACGCAGACTCACGCGCGCAAACTTAGACGCGCATGTACTCTCTCTCACGCGCCCGTGTGCGCGCAGTCATTGTGAGCTTTGGTTGCAGCTGTATCTTTGCACAAGCTGCATGATGCCAACACCCCTCCTCTCCGTCACACGCGCATCTGGCTATAATGAGCCTTCTTATTAGGTCTTTATGAAGTATCCATACAGAGGTGGACGGAAATGAGAAACACCTAGTTGTCACCTCACTTTCTACGCCAACAGGCTCTTTTACGCATTATCTGAGATACTACATATGGAGTTGGGCTGCTTGAGAGGTACCGTCCAACTGGTCAGGGCTGCAGCCTGAAGAACCTTAAAATAAACAGGCTATGTCGATGCCTCCCTGCGTGACATACGTCTGCAAGTTGGACAGGCTGCGTGCATCATGTGCTGCGGCTGCAGAACCGAGCAGGCTCACATTATAGTTCACACACACTGAGAGACAACGATTTCGTGTGCGGTGCGACTTATTTGATTTATAGGCAGACACCGGCTATAATTCCAAAAAAACAGCCGGTCCCCTCCCTTTTCATTTTTTTTCTTCATCCATTCACCGATCCATCTATCCGTCCGTCCGTCTGTCCCTCCTCCTCCTCCCCTTGGGGCTGCTGGACGACGAGCGAGGAGGCCGTGAGGAACGCTCTACCCATACTCCAATGAGAGAGAGAGAAAGGACGCTCTGCCAGGACATTTGGGCTTATCAGTGCGGACGAAGGTAGACTTTTCGGGGCGGGGATGGTGAGGGACTTTCTCGGCACTACTGCACTTCGAACAGCCAAACCAAGATCATGAGAGGGTGTAAGACGGCGAAGAAGCGGCCGGCATACCCTTGTCTTTGACGACGCGGTCCGTGTGTCCCTTTCTCAGCTTCTGGATGGCCGCGCAGGTGACGGAGAGAAGATGATGGATGCAACGAAGGAGGATGTTATTGAATTCGTTTGAGAACATTATTTGATCTTCAACGCTCGACAACAATGACACTGATATTTCAAAGGAAAACGGTATTTTTCTTTCACCTTTCTCCTCGAGATTGTCTAGTCTGAATAATACGCATTAATAACAAATGTCACAATATCCTGGTATCAAGGCTTGTCAGAGCGCACTAGTAAAACAACTGTAAGGTGGTGGGAGCCCCATTATTGCCACATTGTGCCAAACATTGCGGATGTTTTAATTAAATAAATAATAGTTGCTTTTTCCCTTTTCGATGCCTTTTAAGTCTCTGTTTCCAAAATGCCAAGTTGGACGCTAGTGACGGCCGTAGCTCTAGGCTGTTAATTATTTTCAGATTTATATTCGAAATCAGATTTATTGAGGCCTGTGTGATATTAAAGGCGTTTACATTTCGATTACACGCTGTTATGAGAGTAAAGGAATAAATCGTCCAGAAAGGTGCAGGAGGCTGCGGTGCGCTCTGATACAGGCATGAACCATGGAGAACATGAAACATTCATGTTAAGTCGCTACAGTCTCCCCATGATTTCATGTTGGGGGCGAATCCTGCTTCATACGGACATAAGAACCGACTTAGACTGAGACACCCCACAGCACTACCCCACAGTGCAACGAGTCAGCCAAACGACCGCACATTTCATTTCCTCACACCCACAATTGGCCGTTGGCAGAGACGCACCGAGAAGGAGACAGTACATGGGCGTCCTCGTCTGCTAAAAGCATCATATAACTGCTCGCCGGGTGCAGGTGTTCAGCATTAGACCAACAAGACAACCCGTTGTGCATATGAGACGTTCCGATCCAGATGGGATGTAATGTTGTGTGGCTGCACAGCTGAGCATTGGTCTCCTTCTCCGCTGCTTCGTGAAGATTGGATTTCGGTGTCCAGAGAATGGCGCGGTTTGGAGATGAGGTACCGGCCAGGTATGGTGGAGGGCCCGGCGGAGGGGGCCAGGGTGGCCGCGGTGGTGGCAGGCAAGGAGGACCCCACGGACACGTTCATGGACACGGACACGGCCATGGCCACGGTGCACCCGGAGGGCCCGGGGTCCAGAGAGTGTACAAGCAGTCTATGGCGCAGAGAGCCCGGACTATGGCCCTCTATAACCCCATCCCCGTGCGCCAGAACTGTTTCACTGTCAACCGCTCGCTATTCATTTTCAGTGAGGATAACTTCGTCAGAAAATACGCCAAAAAGATCACCGAATGGCCATATCCTTTACCTGGTACAGTGAGTAAAAGCTGATAATGTAGGCCCTGCTGGAGGATCAGGTATATGTGCAGACAGTGTCTGATTGGATGATTCACATGTTTTCTTATGCCATGAGTTAAAGTCATCATAACAAAGGTGTAAATGCATCAATGCAAGCCTGTGTGAGATATGTTACAGAAGGTGACAGAGGGAAAGCTGGAAGTGTAATTTATAGTTATAATTTAACCAGCGGCCTCTTTTACGAGGCTGTTGATCACCATCAATCACATTTGTTAGTAATTTCACGTCACAGTCGCGAGGGAACTGCTTGATATACACTTCCTGTGTGTGTGTTGCGTGTGTGGTGGTGGTGGTGGTGGTAGTGGTTTTTAGGGGGTGGGATGCGGAGGGGTGTAGGGGGCGCCGCTTGTTGCTGATGTCAGCATGTGCAGTAAAGGCCTAGCGCTGCTATAGAGAAGCAGGAGAGAGAGGGGGAGGGGAGGAAAGAAGGAAAGGTGGGAGAGACCTAGAGAGAGAGATACAAATAAGCATCCACAATGATGGTGTGTGTTTGTTTGTGTGTGTGTGTGTGTGTGTGTGTGTGTGTGTGTGTGTGTGTGTGTGTGTGTGTGTGTGTGTGTGTCCTTCCTTGCAGTGATGCACATAACAGCTACCATATCAGCATGATACAGGTGTCTTTCAAGATATGGTGTGTGTGTCTGTGTGTGTGTGTGTGTGTTTGAGAGAGAGAGAGAGAGAGAGAGAGAAAGAGAGGGAGAGAAGGAGAGAGGGTCAGGCATATGAGTGTGAGTATGGTAGGATATTAACTTGTGCATTGACACAATATTTAATTTGTCCCCCACTTTTGAGCCACCTCTTAATCACACAAGCTGCAGGTGTCACTATATGAATGTGCCACCATTTCAAACTGTGCGTGCGTGTGCATGTGTACTACAACCGCTAAGCGTGACAGCGTTACATTTCAAGCAATTCCTTGTTTTTCCATCTTTCATGAAAACCAGCACGTATTGCACCATTCGGGGGGGGAGAAAATAGAAACTGATTCAAGCATTTCCATTTGCAGGATTTGTGTATGTCTGTGTGAGTGCATGCAAATGCGGAAGTAAGTTTCTGTGTGAGTGTTAATGACAAGAGGGGAAATTGAAGTAATGATTGTATTGATCCATGCTGATGCTTGAGCCGTGACATAACACACTAATTGGGCTGCTCTGGTAAAATGCAGGAGCTACTTATAGTGCCTCTGAATCATGTCTATTCACCATTTAAATGACAGATGTGTGTGTTAGTGAGGGAGAGTGTGTGTTCAGAAAATCTGTATTTTCATAGAGTACCTTTACAAAATACAGATTTAATAACTCTAACTGCAGTCTCAAAGTAGTACATTTATTTTGAATGAAAGTAGTAATTTGTATAATGTTCTCATAGGATTGATTACTTACTTTTTGGCAAAACATTTGGGGATTTGCGTGTTACTTTGGTTATTAGTCAGGATGTGTTTCAGCACTAAAAGTGTTTTTATCATGATAAAACTCTTGAGACTGTTGCAATGATTTCCACCTTGACTGTGCTAATAACAAAATAGAGAAAGAATAACATTAGTGAAAATAATTGGTGGGTCTCCTGGTAACTTGATCCAACATGTAAGGCACTAGGGAATGCAAAGGAAAGTATAGATTTTCTTGTATTGGCCTTTGAAATAAATACTTTCTACAGTGGCTCAAGCTATTTGGTTAAAGTTCAAACAACTTTTCTTTGAGTGGCAAGTTGCAATTTACCTATTTTTTAAATAGGACATTTTGACATGTTGGAAAAGCCACTTTGTAAATAATAAAAAACAATGATGGCTGAATTCCAGTTTCTGGTTCTTGGTAATGTGCAGGCTGACTCACTGTCACAATGTCACAGCTTTCAGCGACACATGAATAACACTGTGCCATTGTTCATGTTATTAGTAACACCTGTGCCTTTCCTACTATGACAGGTGGTCTGTTGGGAAAGAAATGACATGCCTCACTGCACAAACTGTCATATAGCTGATCCCACTCAATACTTTTCCTTTTTCCCCATTTGTATATTTGGCAGCATAGCGAATGTCCATAGCCCTTTGATGACAGGTCTAGGGAAGGCAGGAAGGCCAAAGAATAAAGTAAATACATTAACTTCTTTATGTAAGGAATAAGTGTGAGCATGAACAGAAGTACAAAATAAATATGTTGTACAGTGCAAAGCTGTAAAATGAATACAATTGTTAGGTTAATCGCATATCACAAGTCTTCAGCTGAACGTGTTAAACTGTTGATTACAAGACATAAGAATGCTTGGTGCATTTGACACATGTTTTATTCTATTTGCTTGACACAAGGATTGGTCTAGAGGAGGGTTTCAGATTATAGATTTTTCTGAAGTTCCTCTTTTGTATCCATTCCTGATAATAAACGTCTTTCAGATATAGTCTCAACACCAGCGGTATTTGAAGAAAAAACATGAACACCAGTTTGATCTAATGTAATCCAACACAATAGCTTGGCAATAACTCCTCCCTTTGTGAGGCTTATAATGTTCAATATTTGCTGAGATTGTGTCAGGGTGTTATTGATTCAATTTATCTGTAATTTCTGAAGCTGTGCATTGTGGTGTTGTTGTTTATAGGATTGTAATAAATTGCGTGGTGTGGCTTGAACAGCATTTTATCCCCTTCACCAGAGAATTCATTCACATTACACTGTCCATTCTCTGTGTAACCTTGTCTGTTGTGGGCAATCTTGAGTACGTTTGAGATACAGTTGACGTTATTGTGTGGCCTAATGTGGGGAATCTAACCAAGCTGAGGCTATAGGGAACAAAATAACCTTCATGATGAAATGCTATTTTGAGATTTTTCATAACCTACTTCAATCGATATTCCAAAGACAAAAACCCACAGCATCCTTTGAAACTCTTCCAGTAAAAGTCTCATTAAAAACACTGTATTAAATCACCCATTTTTATGTTAAGGATTGAGTTATATCTGCCTGATTCCTGTTTAATTGCCTGTTGAATGGATTAGGTTCAACTAAATTATCTAATGTGCTAAAAGCTTGACACGCTTGAGGTAGTCCTCACTCTGCAGAAGGTGATAATTCCCCTAACAATCATAGGTTCATTTCAGGTAACACCAGACCTCACTGTGGACACTGTAATGTGATTTGATATTCTGCACATCCATATAATTGACAGAAAATGTATACTAGATTGAGTTAAAGTAGATTTTCCAATCGATTGGTTATATTAACCTCAACCAAAAGCCCTTTATCTATTTTAACCACCCTTTTTTCATTTTGGAGTAAAAGAGTAGCCCTCTGAAATCCACCATTGAAATGTCCCCACCACAGATAATGCATCGGCATAAATAAATGATATACTTTATATGCCGTCATATCGCAGAAACAATAAAAAAGCAGGGTACTGGCAAATATTGAACATTAGTGGACCCAAAAGTAACCTTCTGAATATGGTACCCTTATTCAATGTCCTTCTCCGACCATTCATTGCAGGTTAATGTAAATATTAATGTAACGCAATGTAGAAAAGGTCAGAAATATGATTGGTAGGCTATAGTTTATTAAAATGCTTAGGAGGATTCATTCATTAGAACCTGCAGCCAACAGAAGTGCATTTCATTTAACTGACCGATGTTTCACTGAATAGTCATTAAAGCAATGTTTTGATTCAACAGATGCATAAGTCTCAGTGGATTCACTATTCAGCAGAATTATGACCCGCGGCTTTATTTATTTGTGAACAGTCTGGACCCATGGGAGTACCATATAAATAACCATTCTCTAACATCCACATTTAGATACAATATACAGATATTTGGTTGTTTAATTAGAATTACAGAGTTCAGGGGGCTACTGTGACATTTTCTTATTGGGAACAAGTGGTAGGCAAATAGTGTCTTGTGGAATATAATAAATAACTGGATGTACACTTACAGACTGAACTACACAAAAAGAGCATAGTGGTTATCCAACCTTAGAATGTTTGCATGCATTAGAATAAAGGTACTTTCATACAATTTAATTATATTCATCCTTAATCATAGCCCTGGATGTTATTTTTTTGATCCGCAACACTACAGCCACCTTTTGTTCATTTACGGTAGCCTACATCTCTTTGCGTGCTTCTGTCCACAAGTAACGTCTTCAGTCCGTGTGAAATACCCCACCTGCCTCGAAACTTCTTTATTCGGAAAAACAAGGCGGCTTTCGGTAATGCTTTTGGCAGGAGCAGTCAACAAGCAGTGAGTAGCCTACAGCTAACGTTAGCACCTAGGTCGACTTCCAAAATAAACTAAAAGCTAACTTATTCCAGTTAAAGGACGTAAATGAGGCCATGTGGCTTTATTTACAAGGACGTAACTATTGAAAATTGCAAACTAACTCACTGACGCTGGAACTCAGGTTACTAAAATGACACCCAACCTGCAACATTTTCGTTAAAAAGGACTAGCTTCAAGTTATTCAGTTTATCACTCAATGTTACGGTATTTAGCATAATGTGTTATCCTTGTGCATATAATTATGTGCATGTTATCTTATGGATTTGGACATTTACATAACAGCCATATTGTTTGAAATTGAATCCCATTTAATTGTTGTTTTGTGAGAGAGTGGACCATAATATCAAATCACCCGAGAATTCATGCCCCAGAACTATTGCACATAATAGTGTAGTAAAACAAGAATTGTATTTGTGCTAGTGTCCTTATCATGTGCTCAGAAGTAACATATCATGTTGCGTGCTGAGGGAAAGTTGAAACTGGATCCTATCTGACATTAGAAATAAATTCCCCATTGGCTGCTCCACTGACCTTTGACCCTGAATGTCTATTTGACCTTTTCAAATCCATACCAGGAGTAAATGTAATCCATGAAGCCCTGCATATGGTTTTCTATGTATTCTATGTTTGTTTCTGTGTAGATTTGTATGAGATGGCAGCTAAGTTCAAAATATGCCC